AGGACAGGGGGAGGCCACGTGGCCCCAGGCTTAGGGGCGTCCTGATGGATGGGCTTTGAGAATAGTGACTTTTCTGTTTGCTTCAAGCTTCATTCATTCACGAGGCCCATGAGTCATGGTCCGCAAAATAGCGTATATTAGTTAATAACCAAAATTTACAGAATGCTGCATTCCCCCCCAACACCATTCTTGGTCCTTGGGTGAGCTGAGTCATTCTGCCCTCCAGCGACCCTGCGAAGTCGGTATGACCGTCACCCCAATTTTGCAGAGGGGAAAGCTGAGACTGAAAGAGGTTCTCTGTGTCCTGGGAGCCGGTGAATAGCGGAGCTGGGATTTGAACCCTGGCCGTGGGTCTGCAGAGTGGACACATTTTTAAATTTTTTTTTTTTAAATCCTCACTCGAGGATATTTTTTCCATTGCTTTTCAGAGAGAGTGGAAGGGAGAGAGAGGAACATGGATGTGAGAGAGACACATTGATTGGTTGCCTCTTGCGCAAGCCCAGACCTGGGCCGGGGATGGAGCCTGCAACTGAGGGATGTGCCCTTAACCAGAACTGAACTCAAGACTCTACAGTCTACAGGCCAACGCTCTAACTACTGATCCAAACCTGCTAGGGCCAGAGTGGACACAACCCCTTTGCTTCACTGCATTCAGGATGCCAGGGCTGCTTGGAGGCTGCCAGCCACACTCTGGGGAGCATCCAGGTTCGAGATCTCAGGGCATCAGGCAGTAGCCCACTAACCAGCTGATCTCGTCTCTCTTGCAGGGTATCTCTGTGTCTCCGGAGTCCTATCTGTTGCCAGAAACCCCACCCCTCCTGCCCGGCCCAGCATGCCAGAGACTCCAGCCTCAGACCCAATGGGGATACTGGAACCACAGTGCAGAGGTGCTCCCCAGCTCAGAGGACCAGGGACCAGGCCCCACCTTCCATTTCAATGATGAAGGCCCTCTCCAGAGCTCAGGCCTGCAGCTCGGTGGCTGCCCTGAACTCTGGCAAGAAGATTTAGAGGGGGGCCACCTGAGCATCTTCTAGGGGCAGTACCCTGTGCTCCTAGATACCCTCAAAATGACCAGTGCCCTGAAGAGCACAGGCTGGGCTGCAGCAAGACAGTGGCTGCTCGACCACCAAGCTGGCAGGGCTGAGACTGACGGGGGGATGGACTTGGGGAGTGGGGTGGGGCGTGGGAAGACCCCTATATGCTTTGTGTTTAAAAAACAAAAAAAAAACACAACACAAATTTGCTTCGGTCTGTTTTTCTTCTATCAACTTAAGTTTTTGTGGCCTCTGGGGAGGTGGGAGAGGTCACTGTACCCAGGCTGCTGCTTGCTGATCCCCAGATCTTGCCTTCCCCGATGGCCTTGAGTGCTAGACAGGGAGTGAGCAGCCTGGGTTCCAGTGGGCTCCGGCTCTGTGTGTGACCTTGAGTAAGTTTCTGGAAGCAGGTTTCGCTCTGCTTGTCCTTGCTACAGCTTGGGAGCTGGTTTCCTCCAGCCACACAGGGCCCTGTGAATGCCAGCCCTGTGAGCTGTCAGGTGGCCCGATGCAGATCTCCTTCCAGCTCTACTGAGTTTTGACTTAACCTCCCAGAGCCTGTTTCCTTATCAGCAAAACCTAGATAAAGACTGTCCTTACCTCTAGGGACTGTTAAGAACCAAATGAGATGATACATGTAAACACTGAGCTCAGCTCAGCGCCACGCACAGGGACTAGGATCCTTGCTGACTCTTCTCCCTGGAGGCCAGCTCTCCCCCAGGGACACTAGATGGTGGGGCTGACCCCCCCCCCAGTGGGGCCCAGCGCTCTGGTTCCCAGAAGGTCAAGTGCTAGCCGCTGCTGCTGGGCGCTGGCGACAGGAAAGGCTGGCCCAGAGGGGACCCGGTTGCTGGACAGACCCACCCAACCCTGGCTGGCCCGGCCCTACCCTTTGATGTGCAGACACCAGTGGAGCAGGGGGAGGGGTGAGCCTGTGAGGAGAGAGGGCCTTGACCCCAGAGACAGAGCTGAGGACCATGATAATAGCTGGCTCCTCTTACCCGCCAGGCCAAGCGGTGAGTACACCGATTCCTTCCATCCACACACCGACCCTGGGATCAATCTTTATATCGAGCAGATGAGGAAACCAAAGCCCAGGTTTCAGTCACTTGTCCAAGAAACAGCGGCTGATGCATCTGAAACCGGACCTCTGGACTCCAAGGCCCCAGTGGGAGCCCTGCAGGCCTTCAGCGTGTGGCCTCCCTGTCTCCCTCCTACCAGCCACCGATGCTCAGCAGGACCTTGTCGGGCTGAGGCCACGGGGAGCATCCTACCCCTTAGCTCTGTTTGCCAAGAAGTCCCCAGTAAGTCCACGGTGGGCTGTGGAGCCCATGGGTCCCAGGCCTTCTCCTCAGGCGGGCACCTGCCTTCTTTTAGCACCCTACTCTTGAAAACAACCAGGTTACAAATTGACATCGCACCCACCAGGACAGGAGGCAGCAATTGGTCCCACCTGGCCTGGACCCAGGGTTTGCCACCCTTGGTGCAAGCCTGGTTCCCTTACTGTCCCAGGTATGCTGGCTGAGGGCACTGTCAGGACCCCCTCTGGCCGAGCACCAGCCCCCCTTTCCCCACTTGCCATGGGAACACTGCACCCCAGGCCTGCCCTCACCCCCCGTGTTTCCCGAGCACCCCGTGTCTCAGGCCTGCCACGGGAACACGGCTGAAAGGAGCACGCAGGCCAGCGTCCGCAGGAAGGACTGGCAGCCAGGCGCCCCCCTCCCATGCTCCCCGCGGGTCCCAGGCCCCCCAGTGTCCCCCATCCACCCAGCTTCCTTCCAGCCGGTATCCCAGCTGTGTGCAGGCCCACTCCCGTCCCAGTTTAGTCACAAGTCTGGAAGCTCACCTAGAAATCTTTTATCTATATTTTCCCTTAGCAAAAAAAACAAATATACAGATCTGGTGTCCTTTTGAGTCTCCGGGTTCAGGGTCTTCATAGGAAGGTGAGAGAGGGCGCAAGGCAGCTCCCCAGGGCCGTCCACGGGCCACCCAGGGCTTCGCTCCACTGGCCCCTAGAGCTGGGCTTCCCTGAGATCAGCCCCAGGGCCCTGGGCGACAGGAGCCACACCAGGCCTGGGGTGCGATTGGCACGAGGGGCGGGGGCTGGGATGTGCTTGGTCAGTCCGGCCGCCAGGAGCTGGCTTGGCCCCACGGGGACGTGGGGTAGGACTCGGTCCCTGAGGGAAGGACGCTGGTGCCTCAGGCTCCAGGAATGGGGGCCCTGCGTGGGCCACGGTGGGCACCTCACGCGGGGGCCAGGTGAGTGCATAGACTACTAGCTGTTTTGGATGAACCACTCGTGCACCAACTCTTTGTTTTCTTTCACCCACTTGATGTTGGCTTTGGTCTTCTCCAGGGCTTGCTCCAGGGCCCGGGTGGCGGAGCCGAAGCCCGTGTCCATATTGTTTCTCTTAAACTGCTCCAGCTGCCAGGAAAAGGGAGGGTCTCAGCCCAGGCTGGGTCTCTAGCAGGGTCTTCCCACTCCGGTTCTCAGGGACAGCAAGGGCCCCTGGGTCCCCTCCCCTGGGGCCAAGTCCTTATCTAGGGCAGAGCTAAAAAAATGACAGCCCCCCCAGCCAGTGTGGCTCAGCGGTTGAGCATCAACCTAGGATCCAGGAGGTGGTGGTTCGATTCCCAGTCAGGGCACAGGCCCGGGGTGCAGGCTCCTCGATCCCCAGCAGGGGGCGAGCAGGAGGCAGCCGATCAATGACTCATCATTAATGTTTCTCTCTCTCTCTCTCTCTCTCTTCCTCTCTCTGAAATCAATAAAAACATATTTAAAAAAAAAAAAAAAGACAAATTGACCTAATGCAGTGACTTAACTTTGTTTGGCTTCTAATTCCAACATACCAAGGGCAAAAAGAATTTTTTAAAAATTTGAAAACAGCCCGGGTATAAGATGATTATTAATTTTCTTGGGTTTGCTAATAACAGTGAGATTGTGTTTTAAAAATCCCTTTGTTTCCGATGGGACTAAAGTATTTAGTGGCGAAATTATATAATATCAGTGATCTGCTTGAAAACTGCCCACCCCCAAAAAAGTGTTGGGAAAAGGTTGGTAAGTGTCCAATCTGGGTAATGGGTACATGGAGGTTCACGGTCTTACTCTTTCCCTTTTGCCTGCACAAGAATTCCAAGTGCGCTTCTTTGATGGAATTGTCACCCTTTGCATAGCCTGGATGCCCAGCTTCCCCTGGGAGCTGAACGGTGGCTGCCTC